GTGTGTGTGTGTGTGTGTGTGTGTGTGTGTGTGTGTGTGTGTGTGTGCCCTCTGGTTTATTACATGGTAGTGTTTTATATGAGCGATCAGGAATCCTGCCGTTGCCCGTGAATGACTTCAGCATTGGAGTTGGTTGTGTTCATTAAATTAGGACTAATAACATGTATTAATAATAAAGATGAACTTACCCTAAAAACCACAGACAGGCAGAACTGGAAACCCATTTACTTTTATCTCACCTGCTTCAAAGGAGATTTTACATTCACGTTGTTCTTTTGTTGCTGTTTTAATATATTAGTTGTTTTTACTGGTGTTAAAAATATATATTATATTATATTATACTGTATATTAATAACATAGAATGAGGTTTGGTTTTGGGAATATCTCCAGATGCTTCAGTGTTTTGTTATATTGTGATATATGGTTAAAGATTCTTATGTAATGTTTTTATTATGTTATAAAACAGACTCTTGTGTGATTCTGCTCAGCTCTCCACCTCATGGCTCATTTCCATGACGGAGTCTCTATTGGCTGTGTGGCTCTGGAGAGCTCACACCTGATTGGCCAAGAAAGCTGTACCCTGCAGAACGTTGTTCTGAATGGTTTCCTCGGGTCCACACTGCTGCTGTGTAGCTCTCTTATCACAGCTCCTCACACACAAGGTCTCTTCTCTTCTTTTCTCAGAAACAGATCTGCTCGCTACATTGTCAATAAATGGCTGTAAACACATCCAGCTTCAATGAGAGACAGTCGGCTGAAGTTTGGACGCCCTCTGATCTGAAGGTGCAGAGCTCAAAGAGATTTCTGCTGGATGATTTCATCGCAGGGTGTATCGGCGGTGAGTGAAACCCGAGTTTATTACCAGACTGCTATTCATTGAGAGGCGCTCTGATACCCCGGTGTGGGTCAGTATGTGTGGGTGTGTGTGTGTGTGGGGGGGGGTGTGACATGGCACTTAATCGCTCCTCATCCTGCATGTTTGTAGGTTTAAATCATCTGTGCATGGAGGAAAAAAGGTTCAGAAACAAGGTGATATTTTGTTGTTTGAAGAAAATCCGATTTGCAGGAAACTACTGCGGCCCCCCCCCCCCCATCCAGTGTAAACAATGGAGGGTCTCTTATCCCTCACCTATACATAAACACGCTCACCTCCCAGTCTTTTACCTCTGAACTAAGATATAAGATAGAGCCAGTAGTTCAATGCGTTATCACTTCACAGATGCGTTCAGCGCTGCAGGACTGATTATGTCCAAGTGTCAATTCCACTGTAAGGTGGGATACCTGCTGTGACGGGCCCGGCCGCTAGGGGCGCTGTGGATGCATCGTTTTTAGTTGCACAAACTAATGAGTAGACCGCTATAAGTAGACCGCTGACAGTGAGACCAGTGTTGGTGTTGATTCAAAACAAGATGATCCAACACAGCTGCAGCTGTTTTAAATGTATAGTTAATGTATAGTTAATGAAATATGAGAAGAAAGAAGCAGTGACTCTAAAAGACATCTGTTTTCAAAGGGTGCATGTACAGAAGAAATGAAAGAAAGGATCAGTTACAAGTTCAAACTGAACATCCATGTAAAGCAAAACTAAAAACATACCAAGAGAAATGAATCCTTGAGCTGTGAATGTCCCAAATTTAAGAAGAAGAGTTGTGTCATAAAAACTCTGCTGTGATTTAATAGAAGGAAGAAGTTAAACCTCTGGCCTTCTGTGTGCAGATGTGGCATCAAAAGGTAAAAAGCAACGACCAAACAAACCATTTAAATGCGCTGTGATTGGCCGGTCCGTGTTCGTGGGACGGATTTAGCAAAGAGTTAATTGGTTTCTCTCAATCGTTACTCACGGATGAGCCCTGCAGAACAGGAATAAATCCAGAAGAGACTAAAGTGATAAGGTCCTATTTAAGAAACCGTATTGGTCCCTGTGAGAGAATATTATAGGAAAGCTTTACTGATTTATTGTGACGTTACAGGAAATAAGGTTTAAGTTTTTAGAAACGTATTTGAATGTCTTTAAAATATTGCATTCTCTTAACAAAGCTGGACTCTTCAAACCAAAGAAAAGTTGTGTTTTTGCACTTGAAAGACTGCTTTCCCTTTAAAAGCATGTCTGCGAGGGTTAACTACAGTCATGCACTGCTGCATGCTGGGAAGCTGCAGCAGCACTTCTGAGAAGAAGCTCGTTTTCTCTCCAGCGAACAGTTCGCTTGGTTTGCACATGTTTGAAACACGGATCTGAAGTCCGGCCGCCACACAGCAGACGTAGCTGGTTTGTACTCTGTGTGCTTGTTTGGTGTGTGAGGTGGTGAGGAACACTCACAATGCACAGAGAGCCGTTACAACAGGGGCTGAATAAGGGCACAAAGGCTTGTTTTTGTCCCAGGGGCCCCGTGATGGGGGCCCAGCTTGACAAGTCTCTTTACAACACGGAGGACTGGAACAGAGAGTGAAATACGTTTGTGTGTCTCTCTCTCTCTCTCTCTCTCTCTAATCTCAGTACACTTTAATGGTATTAAGTGCAACACAATCCAAAAGCCCAAAACATTTGAATGACATTCTGTTTCAGCTTGTTGCTGTTATCTAAAGAGGGAATAGAAAGTGCCAGAAATAAATCCAATGAAGCAGAAGAGTTTCCTTTTCCAGCTGAACCACCTCTTCTCTTTCACCAGCAGCTTGATGGATGCATGTGTCTCTGTTTCTCCTCCTCTGGTATGTAGTGCACTCATTTTTTTCTCCTTTCTCTGTCTTTCATCGGGCTTTGGCTGCAGGAGGTTCCAGCGTGGTCGTGGGCCATCCGCTGGACACAGTGAAGGTAAGAAGACCACCTCAACTCTTTACAATCTTCTCCTGATTACAGTTGGATAAAAGAGAATAAAAACCAGCAGTTGGTCCAGATGTGGATCAGCTACAGATGCTCTTGTGTGGTTTCTTTTTTAATTTGATTCTTATTTTAGTTCTTTATTTGAAGAACCTCCTATTATTTACTCACATTACTTTACCTGTATACAGTATATTCCTGTCCTTCTACCGCTGACAGTAGAAGGTGCATCTCCTCTGACTGGTTACTGCTCGGTTAAAGAGCTGCTCAAGTTTGACTGTCCAGTAAAAGAGTAGATATTTATCTTAGAGGTTTGGACAGAAAACTATAATCTGTGAGGAGAGACTTAACCGCTAACGGAGCAGAGGCTAACTAAAGTAACTCGGTGTGTCCGTTCTTTTCTGTGTTTTTTAAACTGAGTGGTTTCTCTGGTCCAGACGCGGCTCCAGGCGGGGAAAGGCTACAAGAACAGTCTCCACTGCGTCCTCACCATCTACAGGAAGGAAACGGTAAACATCCAAACGCCTTGCTGTGAAGCAGTACCATTCACTAGGTCAATGATTTGTACATCGATATGCCGAGTTTTTTAAAAATAAATTTGTCAGGAAATGTCGATATTAACAGTTTCATCACAGTCATTGTGTTCAGCTTACAGCCTGGAAAACACAGCTGAGTTTGTTGCAGATTCTCTGTAAGTTTCAGGGTGAAGCAAGAATTTCACAGAATATTACTCATATCCGTCCCGTTTCACACAATCATGCATTACCAGTTTTGTAATTCTTCCTTCCATTTGTCGCAGGAACTTATTATTTCTTTTTTTTTTATCTTTTTATCTTTTTATTGCAAGACAAAAGACAAAACATAAACAGAACAACAAGAGGACGACAAGAACAGTGAACACACGCCAGTTAACAACTGTGTGTGTGTGTGTGTGTGTGTGTGTGTGTGTGTGTGTGTGTGTGTGTGTGTGTGTGTGTGTGTGTGTGTTCTACTAATAACATGATCAAATTAAAAAGAACGGGTCGGCAGGATCAGTCCTGCAGGGTTCATTTTGTAGACATGAAATATTATTCATTATTTTTCAAAAGTTTTGTTGTTTTGTTCCAGCTGTGTGTCGCCCACAGACGCTCGCAGGACGAGGTTGATGTCTTAAACAGAAAGCTGCTCCTCAGTAACCTATTTCTGTCCGTCTGCATGCAATGTCTTTATAAATCTACTCTAGAATCTGCCCGGGAATACTTATGTTATGTTAAATGAGTTCAGCCAGATCAGGTCCACGCAGCCTGGTCATGTGGTCATTCTGAATCATATTTACAGCAAAACAGAAAATGATTCAGTGAAATTGTGCAACAAGCCTGAATCTCTGTGCAACATGGCCGACTGGCTGACTGAGCGGTCTGCTTCTTGGTGGTCGGCACAGAAAATGTAGAAACTTGTGTATTTGTGAACAGCCACACAACCCCGTCAGACACAACAGGTGTGTTTTCCTCTGCGGTGTCACATGATTGGTTCACACAGCGGACAGACAGCTGTGTTCTACTGTCAACATGTGTCTCCTAAACTGCAGCCTCCTCTCTGCTGAGAGGAAACACTTTCAGCAAAGAACACATTTGGCAGCAGAGTCGGCTCAGGTCAACTTAATCTATGATACCTTGTATTGTACTCGTGAATGAATCTGTCCTCGTCGCTCTCTGTTTCTCAGGTGATGGGCTTCTTTAAGGGCATGTCTTTCCCGCTGGCCAGCATCACCGTCTACAACTCGGTGGTGTTCGGCTTCTTCAGCAACACGCAGAGAGTCATAAGCAAGTATCGCTATGGGGACGGGCGGCACCCCTGTGGCATGGTGGACCTGACCGTGGCCAGCATGCTGACCGGTCTGGTGTCGGTGGGCCTGGGAGCCCCGGTGGATCTGGTCAAGATCAGACTGCAAATGCAGACGCAGATGGTTCTCGCAGGTAAATCCCTGTTTACTGTTTTTTGGCTTTGGATTCGAGTTGTTCCTCCTCGAGCAGCAGGAGGAGGACTTGTAAATGATTTAAATTTGTCCAGTTGTGTTTGCCTAAATAAATGGATAAAAAAGAATAAGAAAAGCGTGACTGAAATGGAAGGAGTCTTCCTTACTTCCTGATGTTGTGCCTCCTCGATTCGCTTCCCCGCCCTGCATCTTGTTCCCGCTCACGGGAGACGCGAGTGGAGGAGACGAGAGGAGAAATAAATGTAGCTGTTAGAGGTCAGCGGTGTCTTCCTGCTGTCAGCTTGGAATCATGTCTGATACAATGTTCTCCAACTATTGCTCACCACTGAAAAATATTCACCATCGGCATCGAGGTATCAAAACCTCCACAGAAACAGTATGTTTCTAATCATCCTAACACATAAAGATTACCAATATAGATAGTTTAGGGTACTTAAAAAAAGACTTTACCTTGAAACAATGAACCCCCCCCCCCATACTCTTCTCAACATGGTACAGTCTGAATCCCCTCCACTGTAAAGGCCATTGGAAGCTGCCACTTCCTGTTTGTCAGTTTGAACCCTCACCAGCAGGTGAAGAGGATTGAGCTCATTAACAAACATTTGGTCAGTTGATGCTACATACAAGCACTTCAATGGATTTGAATGGAATGTGTAAATAAATGAACTGTGTTACTTAATTGAAAATGTGACAATGATGAGCAGAAATCTCTCATGCTAGCAGCTTAGCATGCTATAGCCACAAGTTCTTATTGTGCTAGCATAACTTAGCCGCAGAAGCCTGTGCTACACAACTTAGCAACACAATCGGACTACAGATCTGTTGTGTCGGAAGGATGGAATAAATGATAGAATTGCAGGAACTAGAATGTGTCTGGCCAGTGTGCAACCGGCCCTTAAAGAGGCACTAAAAGAAGTTGAAGTGATGATAGGGGAAGTTATAGTGCTAGCCTACTATAGATTGAAGTGGCAGTTGAAATGAAGGCACTGGACAAAGTGTTTAATTGGAAGTGCTGAAAGAAGTTGAACTGGTATTTGAGCTTGAGGCTATACTGGCGGCTGAAATGGAAGTACTCGAAGATATTGAAGTGGTTGTTGAGCTGAAAGTTTAAATGCTTGATGGAGTTGAAGAGCCAAGTTGAGATGTAACGGAAGTGTTCGCACTGAAGGGAACTGAAGTGTTGCGTTATTGACAAGAGTTTAGATGAGTCTCTTGCTTCCATTTTCTACTCTCTCAGTCAACACTTCTGCAGCAATGATTAACAGCCGTACATTCATCCACTCTCAGAATAGAAACTCTGACACAATTTATATTTGTCTGGGCTGCATCTTTTTAAAGCAATAAAACTGAGGTGAGAGAAGGTTAATTACAAAATAGGGTGGACGTGATGCATTTCTATCCTTGTATTTGTTTATGGTGTCTGTCGAGCTCACACCCTTCACACCTCTCCTCACGCGATCGCTCACATTTGTTTCGTTGACTTCACGCTTCGGTCTCGTCTTTTAGGACATTCAGATTGTTTTTATGATGGTGCAAGAAAGCCTCAGGCAACATTTTGAAAGTCATTTCCGCTCACTCTCCTGTGATTAATGTTTCTGAAGTGTTGATAAACCTGATACTTTGTGCATGATCAGCGGTTCTTTCAAGAGCCGCCATTTTCTACTGATTTTCAACAATCCTCAGGAAACGGACCGGTTTCAGTCGCAGGAAACAACTAATCGCTGCTTAATCACATTGTATTCCGTCTCCACAGAGAACTTAAACCTCGCAGGCAACGTACCGAATAGCACCAACATCCCTCTGCGCTCCATCGACATCCCCACCCAGAGACTCTACCGAGGCCCCGTCCACTGCATCAGCAGCATCCTGCAGACCGAGGGCCTGCAGGGCCTGTACAGGGGCGCCGGCGCCATGATCCTGAGGGACGTTCCCGGGTACACGCTCTACTTCATCCCGTACACCATCTTTTGCAACCTGCTGAAGCCCGACGGCACGTCAAGCCTTCACCCCGGTTCCATCTGGCTGGCTGGAGGACTAGCAGGTAAACGTCACGGACAATGTCCAGCTTTAACCTCACCAGAGCTGCTTTTATTAGGTTTGATGCATAATTAGTGTGGTTCAGCATGAGGAAACGAGTGAATAGTATTTGTGGAGCTGTCATTGGTTACTCAAGCTTGAATCGCATTGAATGACCAAATGGGGAGAAAGTTGCATTCAATCCACACTAACTTACAAAGGCCTTGAAAGTGCTGCTGCTTAAGGGGTGATGGTGGGTCCTGCAGCCAGACCAGTTGAGAACCACTGCTCTACCTCGAGCTCTCTCTATCTACAGCTAATCAGAGTCAGCATGTCACCAAGTGAAAGCAGCACAGCAGCAGATTCCTCCGGATCATGTAGTAACTGAAGCCACCAGTGTGCTGTAAACTAAATCCATCTTGGAATGATCTCCCACTGCTTCTCAGTGGACACCACAATACTCTCTTGGTCCAGTTAATGGCAGCTCGGGGGCAGGGCTGCATCTGACAAGTATTTTACATTACCGATAACGCTGACACGTGTTTTTTTCTATTAATCTTTTCGTCAAAAAACAAAATTACTGAAAAGAGACAAACGTGACGTTTTTAAGTTCCTGTTTGGTCCAACCAGCGGTGAAGGTATAGTTATGAAACGATGACGAAAATATAGAATGAACACACAACAACTCAGGAAGTTGGTGATGAATTTGGTGGCCAGTCAGTTCACACTGAAGGGACTGAAGTCTGTGAGAACGAGTCAGATTTGACTCCGATGGGAGTGTCCTTCCAGCCCTGGATGGGTTTACATGATACAATTATGTATTTTATCATACAATTATTTTCTCTACGATTTAATCTGCTGATTATTTTCTTGATGAATCTTTTTGTGGATTAAAAGTCAGTCACTGTTGTTAACCACAACCCGAGATGTCTTGTCCGATCAGTCCAGTGAGACTCTGGTCTGGGAGTTGTTTGGTCTCAGAGCTTTCTTCCAGATGCTCGCTGGCAAACCTCTGAACACGTGACGGAGTCTAAAGGGCTGAAATTAGCTGCGTGTCATAAATCCGAGAGGTTTGGATGTTATATAAGCCGTCAGTTAATATGGGACTGAAGCATTCAACACAGAGAATATCCTCAACGGGACCGCTGTGCGGTTCTTTAAACTGCTATTTCATAAGAACACTACTGATTAACAGATTATTGATTTCTATATTTAAAGCAAGTTGTTGTCAGAGGAAAGTTTATTTAGTTCGGCATCTTGTGAGTATAGCGCTGCAACTTGCAAGTGTTTCACTATCGATTCATCTGCTGGTTATTTTCTTGGTAATCTGTTACTTGTTTTGTAGATAAACTTGTAAAAAGATGCTTGTTATGATTTACCACTGATTGATTAAATGACTGAAGGGGAGACACTACAGGTGAATAGCGTAAAACATTTAACCAATAAATGTCATCATGAAACTTCCACAGTTAAAATAATAATGTTAGGAAAATGTTTTTTTGAATTGCAAGTTTTCTGAAATGTTCTATTTAAATATGCAAATCAGGCATTATGTTATCCAATATCTGCTTATTTAAATATGCAAATCAGGCATTATGTTATCCAATATCTGCTTATTTTCCTGAAATCTGAACATTGTAAAGAAAATAATGTCAACAGGTGTAAAAAACCTGTTTTTTGTCCCGTCAAAGACTCTGAATGCTGAGTGAACTAACCCCTCTGTGTGAACCTTCAGCACACAGAGAGGAATGAACGAGTGAAGTTTGGTGAATGTAAGAGCTGCTGAAGTGGAGATTTATCATCAGAGTCTGAGAACAAACTCATTTAGAGGAAACGTCCTTTAAAGAGACGTTTAGTTCCATTACAGACATTTAGAGACTCTACAGGTGAACACATGAACTCATAGATATCACCATGAAA